CATCAATCATCAACGGTTATCAAACTACAGTCAATCCTCCTCCTCCTCCTCCTCCTCCTCCTCCTCCTCCTCCTCCTCATCATCATCATCATCATTAGCAAGAGAAGAAGCAGCAGCAGGAGCAGTGGGAAAGAACCACAGACTTTTTGGCTTTCTGAAGATAGCATCACAATATTAACAACTGATACAAAAGAAAATTACACAAAAATTTTGTCTGCTGCGCAAACAGTGACATTCTTGCCAGTGTCTGTAGCACAGCAGTTAGTGTAGTGGTAGTGCATACTACATAATGAGCCTACTTGTTTTGTAGGTTACCTGTCTTGTAGGCTCTGTAGGAAGTTCATGGAAACACAGGCAGCAAGAGACGAGGTCGAATGACTCGCTTGGAAGTCTTGTGTCCTCCGCCGCTGCATGGCTGAACTTGATGGGGATCGTGTTTCCCTGTTCATTCAGTCAATCAAAATGGCACAAAACCAACCAGCAACACGGTTATGCGGTAGTAGCTACCTGGCTACCTGGCTAGCTATCGAGTGCTTGGTAGGCACTCTCCAATCTGTGCCCCGAAGTGGAACAAGTAGCGACCAGGAGGGTGGAATGTACCAGACAAGTAAGGTACCTGTGGCGCTTTCCTCCAGCTCATCTTTGGGAATGAAAGGTGCAACAATCGTTGGAGTCGGCTGTGGATAATCGGCAGCTACCCTCTTCCCCCGAATACAACGTACGTGAAATATAGCTGTATTTAGACTGAAAGATACCCCAAATACAGCGACGATGTATTCGGGAGAAGAAGTTAGTCCTAGCTAGTACCATCTGGGACTAGCTAGTAGTATCTGGGAATAGCTAGTACTATCTGGTACCAAGCTAGTACCATCTGGTACTAGCTAGTACTTGAGACAGTAATAGCTACCGGTAGTACTTGAGGAGAAGATTATTCCATGTGACTTATATAATTGTGTTGTATAATAAGTATTAATAACTTGTATTTGGAAATTTCAAACCAGAATTCATTGATTCTTGCACACTACACAAGTTAAATTTTAAAACTTTCTAAAAACTTTGAAAAAACTTTGAAAAAACTTTGAAAAAAAATTGAAAAGAATTGGAGGAAATTTTCATATTTCATTTACTACGTAAGGGGTCGAAGTTGTACTAACTTTGTACTTACACACACGTAACTGTGGATATGTCGGTTAGAAGCTCAAATCCTGACACATGCGATAATGTTTAGGCAATGCCCCACTTGTGAGAGGGGCAAAAGCAAAACACACACACACACACAC